TTAACAGATTGATTTAGTCCCCTGTTCAATAGATAGCTCAGAATGACAAACATACACAGTAAATGTTTAAATCCTGTAGTTAATATTCTACTACTAAGGCACAATTTTGAATCCAAGGTTTTTACTTGTCATTGTGGGTTTGCACAGATATCTACACTATGCTGAAAACACCAACGCTAAATGAAAGTCGCTCAATTTACTAGCAATCCAACCAGTATTATCGATCTCTTTGATGCTTTTGTTTTTAGCGTATTTCTACAACAGGATAATTACACGCACGACCTGGCACACACATTGCGAAGGTTCCATTAGGATCTCACGAATTTACTTTTCCTAAATTTTACTAATAAACGCAAATACTACAACTTTATTAGTAAAAATAAACATAACATTAAAACAAAGTAGTTCCACCATGTGTTTATTTTGTTTATTGAACTATGAGTTGATACACATTTTGTGCAGATTTCACATGCGAGAGTTTTGGACCGTTGAAACTGTAAATACGTTTTAATTTGAATATGGACTCAAGATAAACTTGAATTATAAAACGCTCTTGTAGTGATTGAGATACTTCGAAATAACTTAGTGTACTTACACAAGATTTTAGCCTATATACGTATTAAGGGCACTCTTTTAAAGTTTTTAAGTAATAACTAGATGTACAATGTAAAAGTAATGAATAGTTAAAGATAAAAAATTAATAGAATCAGTTATTTGCAATAGTATTATATAGTTATTTATATCACAAATAGTATTATATTGTCTCCTTTAAACTGCCAGCTTTATTTACTTTATAAATAACATTAATTGTAAATCAGGTTTGCTGATATATGGAATATAATTAGGGGTTTTTTTATGAAAAGTTAATAGATTAGTATGAAATAAACACATTTTTCAATTTCGATCAAAATATATTCATAAACTATTCACAATAATAATTTTTTTATCCTCAAAAAGAACATAGGAATTATTATTTCATTTTTTTTTTATTTATTCCGGAACCGTCATGCATAAAAAACGCTTCATTTTACTTAAAGATTTTTTTGCAGCTCTATAAAATAGTCTGACAAAGTTTTACAATGTTCTGTTTTGAGGGTCAAAAATGAGAGAACCTAATTGTTACTCCAAAAAACCCACCATCATGCTGGTTAGCAAACTCATTCGAATAAACGTACATTTACACGTTAGTACAAAATTTCATCAAAATCGGATCATTTTTACTCGACTTATCGAGTTATATTTATTTTTTATATTTTTTTTTAAAGGTTGGTGGCCTCTTTTAACCTTGCATTTGCCCGTCCACATAGACTGCAGATCTGTGCGTGAAACGTATCCAGCAAAGCAAGGGGGAGCCAGCATAATACGAAGGTGAACTGTACTGATAAAATGTTTGCAGCAGTGACCAGCATCCGAACCCACGACATCGCTGCCTTGGGCCCGATGTTGGTGACGCTACCAAATTACCAATTTACTCAGGATTTGTTTGGAACGATGACGAATTAAATAGTAGACGTTAAACTAAATGCATATTTTCGTTTTATATATAAACGTTTCCAAGCAGAGAAGACAAAAATTAATGAACAAAGTAAATATTGAATGGACAAAAATTACAAATAATCGAAATTTGAGTAAGTATATGTGATTGAGAATTTATCGAAGGAAAAGTAAAAATAGACCTGAAGCGAAATTGAAATTCAGCTGTGTTAAATAAGTTTTGAATATCTAAAAAATAATGAATTAATTAATTAAAATACTTTTTTATTGAGGCGAACATTAGGACCACATGGTCCATTCTTACAGTTAACCTCTTATGCACTCAATAAACTAAACAATGCATTTTTATAAAACTTTTAAAACTATAAACAAAATAACAAGTAAAAATTAAAGCTATGTCAGAGGGGAACATGGGGACTTTTTTTAAGTACCAACTGGTGAGCCAACTCAGAATTTTGGAAGACTAGTTGGTTGCATTTAGAGTTGTGATGTGTATATTCTTTGTGAAGGGCTTTAAAGGTACAAAAGCCTTTAAAATTTCTGTTGTTGTGAGTAGCATAATTTTAAATTGGGTCTGGAAAATAAATAATGTTCTCTACAGAGGGAAGATTTAAATATATTTAATGCTACTTTCGTTACACTGAAAATCTTTTGTAGCCCAGAATAATACCGAGTAATAAATTTAGGGTCACAAAGACCTATTACCTTGGTTGAGTAGTTTTTTTATTCGATTAAATAATTATTTTGAAGGATAGCACTATCCAATAAAAGCAAAATTTAATTTTGTGTTTTTTTTTAATATAAGTTTTTTACTTTAGATGTTTTTGCCTTAATATATAAGTTTTTTGGAAATTATATCTTCACATACAATGGGTGAGAGCTTTGATAATGTAAGTACTGCATTTTCTTTTCTTTCCATGTATATATATAAATACATTTGAACAGTTGGTGTTTTTTAACTCTGCGGACATCAAAGTGAAAAATGCAATCTGCCCTGGGTCTAGGTAGGCTTGTGACTTGCGGCAATAGCGTTTTCCATAGGAAATTTGCTCAAATAAGATATAGTTTACAAAAATATATAAAGCATTGATTTTCTACGTGTGATTCTTTGCATATATTTTACATAACTGATTAGCTTTCGCCATAATTTTAATGTGTAACTTTCCTTCAAATATGATTTCCTTGAATTGTACTAACGACAAATTGTTGTCACAAAACCATTATACTCAACACTTGACAATTATGGTCAAATTTATTTTAATATTTTTACAAATAAAAAAAATTAATTACCATCATTGTGCAATAGGAAGGGTTATCGTAATTTGCAATTAATATCAACATTGAGAATATATCTTATTACTTTAATTTCTAGGCTTACTACAAGATTTGGTAATTAAAAAAAATTACATAATTTATGGCAATGACAGTGTGACCAAAAAGCATAACTAATTTAACTTGAAAACAAAAACATAATTACGCTGTAAAAAATAATAGTGAAACTTATACCTGCTGTAATAGTTATAGTTAAAACGGCATTTAAATATGGATGAAGGATATTTTTAATTTTTATTTTCACAGCAACAGGTTGCATGATAACTCACAGCCAGGAACTACGAAGTCATTTAAATATTTTATTGTTCTTATCACCAAATATTCACAATAATACCTGTATAGGAGAAATTACACGCGTATGTGTATTAAATTGTGAATGAATCTTATTTCGTAATATTTAAAACCCTAAACTTTCTGCTAGTAGATTATAAAATGTTTTTCTAAAACGATTTACAAGTAAAAACGGATGTTGATGTCTTTAAGGGATTATGCTTTTCAGTAAGATCTGGCCACACGTGTTCGAAAACGCATCTTCCCTTTTTCCCTTAAAAACTTAAATAAGTGAAAGTATATTTTGTAGTTATTTCCCTTTTATAAACTGCATTAAATAAGTATATTTGTATCAATTACTACATTCTAACAAGGAAATAAATTCACAACCACCCTAATAAGGGAAAGTAAATTTTTGCTTAAGTATAGAATACGTATAGAAGGAAATTAGATGCTATTGCCTAATAACACCTAGCATATCATACATATGGACAAATAAGATTAATTCCTTTGTTACGTTTAATTTTAAATAACGTACAATGCAAAATGTTTGTGTAAGAGAAAATAATGATAGTTTTATTTTAATTTAGTTTTTTTTTCGATCATATTACTTATACGTCACTAAATAAGGAAGATTAAATATCAAATATTGGTACTTACGTATTATACGGAGGCCACTTATTTTACAGCGCGCTGCGGCGGTTGGGTTAAGTTGGGTTATCATAAATATGTTTGTAGAACTTTCCTAGTTTCGTTATGAATCGAACTATACGAGATGAGTCATAAAAACTTATGATAACCCAACCTAACCTAACCGCCGCAGCGCTGTAAAATAAGTGGCCTCCGTATAATACGTGAGTACCCAAATATTTACTTTAAACCTAAGCTATACGTTTACAATTTTGCGGAAGCCATTTAACGATACATAAAGTTTAGTAGTTAGGCAACTTACATATGTACCTAGCCCGCCTATCAACATAATGTCTGATATTTGTGCCGAGACTTTATGTATATAATACGTCTGTTTCACTTGTTAAGGCACTCCCTCAAACTTGTTGAGTGTAAACCCTTGTTAGCAAGCATCTAACAAGTAACAACACTTACAGATGTACCTAGCCCACCTATCAACATACTGTCTGATATTTATGCCAAGACTTGTTGTATACAATACGTCTGTTTCACTTGTTAAGGCACTCCCTGAAACTTGTTGAGTGTAAACCCTTGTTAGCAAGCATCTAACAAGTAACAACACTTACAGTTTATGTCGGTTGAAATATTTTCACCTAGCTTGTTACCGTCTCTCTTTGTTTTAGCAACTGAATACACAAAACATTTACAGTACCGTAAAATTATAATATAACCAATCAAACCAATATTTAAGCCATAAACTAGTGTGTTACGTGTGTGAACTAGTGACCGTTACGTATAAAATATTTCTTTAATATATTTTAAAGTCCTAATACTAAGAATGTGTTTAAACATGTACAGTCACAGTTTTAAAACTCAATGCAAGAGTTTTCACATATCCTATTCGTAATATCGAGATTATTTTTCTGATTTTAACTCAAATAATGACAAAAGTGTATAGTTTAACACACCGATTAATTTGAACTCATATGCCATACAATATAAGTGGTTAACTCTTTTTTGGCATGCTAAGGCTAACTATGTGTATCCATCGGATTTTTTTTTTGTTATGATATTATTTATAAAAATACAGCGTACAAGAGGAAATGAACACAAGTTCAGCTGATAGTTTAAAGTTTGACAAGAAGTTTAAAAATTGTAAAAGCAATTATACAATGGTTTAGCATTTCCTGTTACACTATTTAGAATATTTTTTTTGTAAATGCTGAATAAAAGATTACAGTATAATAACTGTTAGACACACTTGTAATATTTACCTGTTAAAGAGTTCAATGTTGAAAAAGACGTACTCGCCACTGTCAATCATGTTGAGTTCCTCCGCTGCCAACATGATCTCACGGACAGTCCGAGGGTCAGCACATACCACCATTACTGCAACAAACATACATAAATACATTAGCATCATACTCACTACTGACAATCGAGTAGAACTAATCCACTGCAAGCTTGATTCCTCTTACATCTGCGGGTCTACACAAACTGTCATCATGATATCTCGTATGGCTTCTTTTATACGCGGCACGCCCCCACGACCGGCAGCTTGGTAAATGCATTGATTTAAGAGACAGCGTTTATACCAGACTCCTGCACAGTGAAGGAAAATGAGAGTTTTCTTCCAAGCGTTTGGGAAAAGTTAAATCAACTTTGTATTTGAAATAACAATTAGAATTTGAAATTGCTATTTTTATCACGCTAAAAGGCAAAAAAGATTTATAATGCACCATTTTTGGATCTAGCTTGATTTACTGTGTGCAAATACCAGTGGCTTTAGCCCTGACACTCTCAATACTGCATCAGTGCAAGGCCAGAAATTAGTGGTGGGTTTATAATGTATTAGATTATTTTGTTACTACACTTGTTCACAGTTTTTTTTCATAACCTTTGGCTAAAAACAGTTTTGTATTCTGTACTACACTTGTAGTAACTTGTACTACATTCAAAAGGTTTTACTGTAGCTCAATCATTCTCTTGTTTAAAACAGTATAGGCAAGTAAATACAATTCAATAGGTAAGTGTTTGTCAATTATTTCTTATACTAGCTGTACCCGCGGGCTTCGCCCCGTTTAGCTTCATAAGTATTTGCATGGCTCATTCACGTCCTGGTTGAAGTTCGTTCGCTACGCTCACTCACCTTTAGGTTGGAGCTCGTTCGCTGCGCTCACATGCCTTCAGGTTAGCTCGTTCGCTACGCTAACTCGCCTCAAGGTTGAAGTTCGTTCGCTACGCTCACTCACCTTTTAGTTGGAAATTAGCTGTTGTCATAAATAAAAAAAAAATTAATAGTGCTGCACCCTGTTGGTAATCCTTGTAACTTTTATGCTGTTGAACATCATAGAACAGAACCAACTTGTTTAATTGAGACAGCTGTTAAGATTCATTAATTCCTTTTAAATATGAAAAATCATAAGATTAACATGGGAAACTACAGAGCCACTGGGGCGGAGCCCGAAAGGGTCTTTGAGATAAGAATATGCTTTAATGTTAATCGGGAATGTGAGCTATCATCATGCCAAATTTCAGCCCAATCCGTCCAGTAGTTTATGCGTGATTGAGCAACAAACACACACACAAACACACACACAAACATACACACAAACATACACACAAACTCACAAACTTTCAGATTTATAATATTAGTAAGATTCGCTTTATTTTATTCGATATGAGAGTTTTAGAATCATATTGTAAACATAAATAACTTTTGTTATCAAATTTCCCAACACAGTTCTAGTCTATTTAACACACCTTTACAACTTAAAGACTGGTAAATCTTTAATTTGCCAAAACAATTAAAAAAACTGCAATTTTGAAAGTAATGGTGGGTTAATAACGTTAAAGTATTTATAAACGCACTGTGTTAAGGATACATTTATCTAATATTTCTGTTTAGGTAAATAAACTTATGGAAAGTAAAGTTTGTCTTTTTTTACTTAAACTGTCAACTTTTTGTCAGTCCACGTAAAAAAACGAACTATTAAATAATAATGATTAGCCTATAGTTATTTAGAAGACAAGGATTGATATGTTATTACGTACCTACTTAAAAATGCATTATTATGATTGGTGCTACAAAATGGTAATGTTGTAATAAATCAGACCCTTAAAAATAATTACAGAAGAGACTCAAGACCTAAATCGTTTAAAGACAGAAAAGGAATGGTAATAAATTTGTCTGTTTTAATCTCGACGTTGTTCAGTTAAAATGTTGTTGAGGAAAACGATTCAACGATTACAAAGAGTTTTCAGTATTTAAATTGTATCTTATTGATGAAACCATTTACAACGTTAGAACATAGTAATGGTTGTTATCAAAGTTTTCACTTTATTTCAACTTGAAACACAACAAATAAAATATACATTTCAACTGTGACAGGCCAAATAATTGAAATGAGGAAAATGTTATGAAGTATAAACAGTAAGAACCAAGTGAAATGTAAAATAAAACTATATATTGAAAGTTAAAAACCACAAAATAAATTTTGAGATGATATAAAAAGAAATATAAGTCTAATTTGGTGAAATAATGCTTTAAAAGCGGCACGGTAAGTAAATTGCTTTGCTTAGCTAGAGTTACCAGCAAGAGGTTTGACTAAAGACACATTATTGCCTACAAGAAATAAAAATAGACATGACATCTCAATACAACCTGATTTAGACTTAGGTTGTAACAATTCAGTATATTTTCACTGATATTTGTCCATAAAATAATTCAATTTCAATGTTTTCCTTTTAAACTGTAGGTCAGTATAATATTTCATTCTACCTTTTCCAAACCATGTGTAATAATTATCCAAGGAGACCAATAGGCAATTAATTAAATATAATGTAATATAGAAAACTTTTTAATAACCTAATTATGTAAATATATGATAGCATATAGCCTTTGGTAACAAAATTGCTTCGAATTTAATATAATTTACTTGAGTAGCTTTTCCAAATTCAAAATTAGCTCTTTGGCAGATGCAAGCTGTTATAGTATGTATGTGAACAGTGTCATACAAGTCTACAGTGATATAGTCAGCTTAGAATGCTACAATAACCTAAACAATGACCTAAACCTTCCTCACGACCAAGATAGCTGAACTGTTAACATACTATAAACTGGATTTTTTATCAATTTAAAATGTTGTCCCTATAAAAGTATATTTGTACAAAGTAGTGAAAACTTTGTAAAAGAATATTATAGTCATATAATGTCCCTTTTATAAACATCAATAATATTTTGACCTGTTAAGAAGACATCTAAATTGGGCGAGATCACTCCTGTAAACAATTTACTTCGAAGTCATTAGAACATTTTCAGGCCATAGCCTTTTGAACTTTCATACACAATTTTAACATGAAGAAACTATTTGAAGCTTATTCCAGAACATTTATTTCACTAATTAGAAGAAGCATTTTAAATAATATATTATTTCAAAACCAAATTTAAACTTTTAATACTTATGTGAAGACAGCCTACCCAAAGATCAATTATACTATCGACCAGAACATTGAACAAGAGTCAACTTGATCTCAAGTTTAAGTCATACAGTAATCTGCTACTGAGTTCTTATTACAATTTTTAAAATACTAGATATTTCATTCTCCTTATGTTTAATAACCAAATAATTACTTGAGCCTAAATTGTGAACATTGTATTAGCCTAAGGCTTTAAGTAACTTCAAGTAAATTCAACTCCCCACACTGTAAACCCTGATTGTAAATCCCTTTTATTTTCTATTTTTTCATTATCAAATTTGTATCTTCATTGAATAAAATTAAGTTAAGTATTGTAAATTTAGAGTTTCCATTTTAGGCTCAAGTTAAGAATGATTACAAGGTATAAGGTGACTCATGGTTTAAGATGTTGACTTTTACAGCCCATAAAATTTATCACGGTCAATATTATTCCTGGTAGATAAGAATACTATAGGTGATTGGAACACTGTAATTTGAAGGTTATATTTTACTATCAGTCATCTTTTGACTATGAAGATTTTGTTATTTAAAAAGCCAAAGGTTATGGCAGGTCTATTGAGCTAATTTATATGATGTTTCACTGGATGTGGAATACATGCCTAAAATGAATATTAACAATTTATTATTTATGGACTTAAATTGATATAAACTGTTATTAAAAAGATTTAAGTTTTTTTTAAATATAAATGAAATATAATAATATTGAGTAGTTAGCAACGCATGAGCGAGTGTAAAGTAGTTTAATAAGTATGCAATAGTAACATGCAGGGATGGAAGCGTATTTACAGTGTACAGATCTACAATTAACATCGCGTAAAAATATTAAATCGAAAGCGCCATATTTTTAAGCCTTCTAAACTCATCATGTCACCGGTATTTTGAGCCTGTTAATAAAAATGTATACCGTTAAATCTGAAATATGTTTATTTAATTACCAAAAGAATTCAAGTACAGATTACAGTAAAAAGTAAAGTATTAAAAAGTAGTTTTTTATAATTTTTAATTTTAAGATTCTGAATCAATGACTTGATGGATTTTCATTATTGGTCTGTGGAATGACAGATAATTTTCAGAGGAAGGGAATGTAATATCCATAATAAATTTTGGGTTTAAGTTTCTTAGGAATTACAATGATAAAAAAGCATGCAGCAGACGCACACATGTTTAATTTTATTTACCATTTAGTGGAACTAACAACAATAAACATTCAGCATAAGTGACACAAATTCAGCTTTTCGAATTTTTTCATAAAAACTTCTAAACGGTCGATAAGCCAAGTTTTCGGCTAGCATTCCTTACCGACTGTTGAGACCTTCGTTCGTAGCACTGCCTGACTCTATGAATTGTATAGACAGATATACTTGGTCGACTGGGATTATTGGGTTCCAGCAGGCTTTCTGTGTTTTTTTTAACTGCCAATTCAACCGAAAAATGCTCTAGTGAGTTGGAGAAAATCTTACGGAGTATCTGAGGAACTCACGCAGGACAGATATTAAAGAAAAATTCTATCATATCTCAACTCCCAAAAGGTTTTTATTCAACCGTAAGTATTTTAAAAACAACTTATGAGAGTAAACAAAATGTTACCAATAAACAATGAAATTATTATAATAGCACTTAGAAAACTTCTTTTTATTTACACGTGAGTCACAGAATTAAGAATAATAGATGAATAGTTTATGGTAACCCGGTATAATATATAGTTAAACTAAAAGAATGATAATTTATTCTAAAAATTGTGTCTAAATAAGTGAGATCACCGTTGCTGTATCAACCTAAGCTTTTCCCTAGATTTTTTAAAGCTAAGCTTATGAGAATCATTGTTTTGAAAGTTTGTCATGGAAACAGTGGAAAAATAACAATGCTTACATGTTTTAAATTACTTTGTCATCTTTTTTGCTTTTACTCTT